AACTGAAATGCCTTCCAACTGCTCCTTTCAAAGAAACATTGTTTAACTGTTTCTGTGCCACCCTGTAGCAGTAATGCTGCTACAGGGAGGCACCGGTGCACAAAATCACATATTTCTATGTGATTTTGCAGTTCCACGTAGGGGGCACACGCACACCCTACCTGCACCACCATTCGCGGATTCGGCTGTCAATCACCGTCAGAATGCCCGTTGCAGTCCCGCTATAAGTCGCTGATCGCTGCCATTACCAGTAAAAAAAAACAAATTCCAGTATATATATACCGCCATTTGTAAACGGTATAACTTTCACATAAACCAATTCATTTACACGTATTGCGATTTTTTTTTTTTTTTTTTAGCAAAGACATGTAGCAGAATACATTTTGACCTAAATTTATGACTAAATTTGATTTTTAAAATTTTTTTTACTGGACATGTTTAATAACAAAAAGTCAAAAATAGGGTTATTTTTTTTAAAAAAATGCTGGGTTTGTTTATAGCACAAAAAAAAAAAAAAAAAAACCGCACAGGCAATTAAATACCACTGAAAGAAAGCTCTATTTGTGGGGAAAAAAAGTATGCAAATTTCATTTGGGTGCAGCGTTGCATGACTGCACAATTGTCTGTTAAAGTAACAGCACCGTATCACAAAAAATGGCCTGGTCAGGAAGGGGGTAAATCCTCTGGAGGACAAGTGGTTGAAAGAGAAGTATTGGATTATTTTTTTTTTCAAACCATACTCACCCAGGTGAATGCAGCTTCGATCTGATGCTGTATCTGTCCCTTGCTGGCTCTAAGGCTGAGAACTGAGTGATCAAACACAGCAGTGTTTGATTACTCAGTTCTCCTCGCAACTCTAAGCAGAGAGACAGGACTGTCCATCTCTAGATCTCTGCTCTGTCTCCCCAGCATTCACTGAAGCGCTGGCCTGTGGAGGGGGAGGAAGCGGCTGGCTCAGGATCTCAGCAGCTCACTGAGAGGCTGAGACAGGTGCCGGTCCAGGATCCTGGGTGGATCCCGACCATATAGTCAGGATCCTTCCCCAGTCTGGATGGGCTCTGTGACGTCTGCCGACAGCAGGCTTTAGCCCACTGTCATCTGAAAATGGGTCACAGGAGTGCAAAATTAATGGCACTCCTGTAATCCACAGGAGAAGTACAGAAGAACAAGCATTGACTGTACTTCCCCTTTTAAAAGGTTTCTTATAATATTTAAAGGAAGAAGTCCTCACAAAACTATCCTTTTTTTTGTGCTAGAGCAGCCTTTTTTAACCAGGGTGCCTTGAGGTTTCTTCAGGAGTGCCTTGGCAAAATTTCTGAAAACTTGTATATAAGCCAGCAGGTGAACAAGCCGGCCTTTTAGTTGCATAAAGCAACAGGGTTTAATTGTGTACAATTACGACCTTCTAGCCACCGGCATCCTGACCGTGATGTCATCACTCGATAAGGAGGTCGTCGGCTGCTTGCACAGCATCCTACTTTGACCCTCCCATGCCTCCCTCCATCAGTGCTGGGGTCACATTAGCTCAGTGATGGAGAAAAACTGAGGGAGAAGAGAAACATTGGATTGCTAGTCAGTACCAGTGTGCAAAAAAGTGTATTTGCTTTGAAAGAATAAAGTCGCCTCTAATGTTGGGAGCCCTACATGTGTGGATGTTGCTGCATTATATGAAACTTAGAATAGTCTTTCACATTTTGGAATGGATTGCCTCGGGACTGTCCATAATTCTAAAGGGCGCCTCGGGACTGTCCATAATTTTAAAGGGTGCCTCGGGACTGGCCATAATTTTAAAGGGCGCCTCGGGACTGTCCATAATTTTAAAGGGTGCCTCGGGACTGGCCATAATTTTAAAGGGTGCCTCGGGACTGGCCATAATTCTAAAGGGTGCCTCGGGACTGGCCCATAATTCTAAAGGGTGCCTCGGGACTGGCCATAATTCTAAAGGGTGCCTTGACTGAATAGATTGAGAAACACTGTGCTAGAGGGTTGAACCACCAACTTCTTTTCTTACTGTAGCCATCGCTGGATTCCTGTGCAGGACTTATGCTTGTCATACATCTTACGCTTGTGTCCTGTCAGCCCTAAAAGTCAAACGTGTGCGTGAAAATTTGTCTCCTGAACAGCGGCAGGATCCAATCAGATGCAGAACTTGTTCAAGTATTGACAGTCACTGCTGTCAAAAACACAACAGCCCAGCAGGGAGGATGCGTCCATACACACTGTATAGCGTGGATGGGGAAGTCAGACTTTTTCCTAAAAAAATAAAAAATCTGTCCCTTACTTTGTGAATATTTTTCATTTTGTGGAAACAAGAAGACAGAGGTTCCAATGGTACCTGCATATTATTGTGCCCATAGCACAATGTAATGTACAGCGCTGAGCGAACCATTGGCGCTTTATAAATACTGTAATAATAATAATAGCGGTTTAGTAAATGTTAGTTTATACACAATTTACCAATATCAAGTTTAATTTAGGTTTTTAAAGCAGAACTTCCCCTCGCCACACTTTTGAGAAAGAATAGAACCCTTATCCTTGGAGATTTAGGGCCAAAGCTCTTTTTGTCATACATCTCCTGTGGGTCACAGGAGTGACCTCTGTTTTGTGACCTAGATTCAGCTGATAGTGAGCTAAAGTCTGTTATCAGATGACATCACAGAGCCAGTCCAGGCTCTGCAGGGATCATGACAATTTCAGTATCCACCCAGATGCCTGACCAGCAGCAGGCTCAGCCTCTGAGCCATCCGCCCCCACCCCCCTCCACAGTCCAGCGCTCCAGTAAGCGCTGGAAGGGCAGAGCAGAGGAGTGGCAACTGACAGTTACTTTTATGTGCTCAGAGCGACCCAAGAACTGAGCAATCTGTGGTCTCTGATTGCTCAGTTCTTGGTGTAGAGCTGGCAGGGGACATCTAGGGGACTACTGATGATTGATTGTTTTTTTTTCCCCTCACACTTCTTTTAACTAAAAATGGACATTCTAGGGAAAAAAGGTTTTCAATGGACTCTTCTTTTGAGATTTGGCCTGCTCTGCATTTCTGGGAATCTTCCTGGAATTATTATTATATAGGATTTATATAGTGCCAACAGCTTGCACAGTGCTTTACAACATAAAGGGGACAGTACAATAATATATTTCAGTACAGAAGGAATAGGAGGGCCCTGCTCATGGAGCTTACAATCTAAAGGAAGGGGGAGGTGGCACAAAAAGGTGATAGCTGATGGGGACAGTCTGATGGAGGTGATTCAAGTACAGTTCTTAGGTGGAGGTAGGGTAGGCTTCCCTGAATAAGTGAGTTTTCAACAATCGCCTAAAGGCAGGCAGGATGGGGCTGACCAAACATACCGGGGTAGGGAGTTCCAGAGGATGGGAGAGGCTCTGGAGAAGTCCTGGAGGCGAGCATGGGAGGAGATGACGAGGGAGCTAGAGAGCAAATTGTCTTGGGAGGAGCGGAGCGGGCGATTTGGACGATATCTGCGGGTGAGGTTGGTGATGTAGCTGGGGACTGAATTTTGAATGGGTTTGTATGATGGTGAGGTCACAACCTACAATGTATAGACAGGGCTAAGGCAAGCATAAAATCTAACCTTTTTCTTTACAGGTACCTTTTGGACCTATCAGCAGATGATTTATACAGGAGGAGGGGGCCCTAGCAGTATATTATTTATTATATATCGCATTGCAAGGACCTCTTTAAAATTAGCAGTCTTCTGAATAATCACAACGTTTCTTTTCTTACAGTGCAGTGGTGAAGAGCAGTCTTTAACCACTTGAGCTCTGGAAGATTTTTACCCCCTTCATGATCAGGCCTTTTTTTTTTTTTTGCTATCCAGCACTGCACTACTTTAACAGGTAATCATGCGGTCATGCAATGCTGTACACAAATGAAATTTATATAATTTTTTCCACACAAATAGATTTGTTTTGGTGGTATTTAATTACCAGTTTTTTTGCGATAAATGAAAATGACCCAATCATTTGGAAAAAAAAAAGTATATTTTGTAATTTCTGCTATAAAACATATCCAATAAAAGAATAAAAAGAAAAAAATCTAATTTCTTCATAATAGCATTAGTGCGGTGGGCAATCAGACACTGACGCTAGGGGGGAACTAACTGCCACTGACATTTTCAGTTACACTAATACAGTGATCAGTGCTAATAATATACACTGTCACTATACCAACACTGGCCGGGAATGGGTTAACATCTAGAGCGATCAAGGGGTTAAATGTGTGCCAAGCAATGCTTAGTGTTAACACCATTTGCTGTTTTACTAAGCAATGTGCTGGCTTTTACTCCCTGCTTTACAGGAAGAAAAAAAGCGGCACATCGCTTCTGTCTGGAGAATGCTCTGTGTTTATGAACACAGAGCTCTCTTCTGTCATTCCCTGAGCCGATTAGCGAGTTCCGGCCATAAATCTTCAACCGAGACCTGCTGGTCAGCTTGTGCTGCAGTCAATGACAGCACAGTCTTCTGGATCTGCATGAGCATGCGCAAGCAGACCCAGAAGAAAGCGAAGAAGTACAGGTACGCAATTGTGCCTGTACAAGCCTGCAGCAGTAAATGTATAGCGGCAGGACAGCAATTGGTTAATAATGCAGAGAATGGTGCTGATTTTATGAAATTGGCGCTGTTCCCTGCAGCACTGTACTATGAGCCCAGGCAGACATGGCTGTGCCCCACCAGGGGACATTTTATGATCTCCTGGACTAAAAAACAAAGTGGGTTAAACGATGCTGGCCGTCGGAAGCCCAGAAGAGAACCAGAGTTGGGCCTCAAAAGAGGTGGGTTTCCATCAGACAGTGCTGAAGAGGAGGTGAGGTTTTGCAAACCTGTGTTTTTGTTTTTTTTTTTTTTAGGGGGGGGGGGGCTCTCTTTACTTTTATAGACTATTTCACTTAAAAAAAAAAAACAAGAAAATTCATGGAATTTAATTGGATACAGCAAAATAACAGTTTGTTTATGCGATAAAAATAAATGTAAAGGTGATGGAACTTACTTTTAATGCTTGCTGAAGTACCTGCAGGTCATTAATACCAGTGATCTCCCGTAGCTGATTTATGAAGGTCTGCTGGTGCTGAAAGACAAAACAGAGGGCATGTTAGCAAGAGGCTTCACTGTACAAAGCATCCCAAGCATGCGATTCATAGGAATCCATAATTTGTAGACATCTGTCAATGTAATGGGCTTAACCTCACACACAAAAAAATGTTTACAATGTTAAAAAAAAAAAAAAATAAAAAAAAAAAAATTTATTTGTGCTTTCAGCTCAACAATGCTAAACACGGATTATGCTTTGGCCCCCGTTCACACCAATGCGATTTGACAAAAGTTGCATCCTATTTGTGGCTATGGAGCTGTTCAAATCGGTGCAACTCCAACTTACACAGATTTTAAAAATGGTTTTACACTATTTTTGGCAATTTCATATTTTAATTTCAAAGTCGCACAGATGTCAGCAAGATGCACATGAAATCACACTGACCAGCGGGCTTTGAAAAAGCACTACCTCAGCTGAAGTAGTTATTTCAAAGCTGGATGCGGTGTGAGCCAGGGCTCACTCCTCCCCTCACAATGCAAGTCAATAGGCAAAAAATGTCTGTAAACAAAAACTGAAGTCATGTAAATACTTAAACAATTATGTTCACTGTGTGTGATTTTAAGGGGTATACGCTCAAAAAAAGAGAAAAAAAAAGTGCAAAGTCTGGTGGTTTTAGAGAGCCAGGAAAAATGCATGGGTGATGTGCTGGGTCTTGTAGTTCTACAAGACATATGGAATTCAGGAGAGGTGTTCTTAGCCTTGCATTCTACAGAAACAGTCCGATTCCTGGCATGGTGTGCTAGGACTTGTAGATCTACAGACAGGAAAAAGTGCATGTATGGTTTGCTAGAGATGGGCAGAGGCAGCTTGAATTTTGTCCAATTCCTGTGGAAAAAAATAAATACTATTGCCCGGGAGTTAGGTATTGAACATTTATTAGAACTACAAAAAAGTATTTTTGCACTCTTTGTTTTCTAAACTGAAAATAAAAAATATTTTCACCTTGGATTGTAAACTCCTTGATAAACTGATAAAAATTACAGGCACTATATAAGTACCTGTCATTAATAAAATTACTTGAAACAAAATGTGTCCCGAGATCAGCCATCTTTTTAAATCATGCAAAGGCCTAAAAGTGCAGATGTGCTTACATAAAAAAACAAACATACTGACAGAATTAGATCGAGTAGAGGAATGAATACATCAGCATGATGTTGCTTCTTGGTTGTCCTGTCCACACAACAGGGCGAGGGGTGTTTAAACCACTTGCCTACCGTGGCACTTATACCCCCTTCCTTACCAGGCCAATTTTCAGCTTTCAGGCTGCCGCACTTGATTGTATTGCGCGGCGGTCATGCAACATTTGAAATTTTGATCATTTTTTCTCACAAATAGAGTTTCTTTTGGTGGTATTTAATCGCCAACTTTTTGCGCTATAAATTAAAAAAAAAGTGCAAAAAATTTGAAAAAAAAAAAAAAAGTTTATTTGTTTTCTTTTATAAAATTTTTCAAACAGGTATTTTTTTCTCCTTCACATTTGCGTTGATGAGGCGGCACTGGGGCATTGTACTGATACTTCACTGATTGACTAAGGGCACTGATAGGCAGTACTAATGAACGGATAGGCGGCACTGATAGACAGCACTAATTACGGATAGCGGCACTGATATGCGGCACTATAGGTACCTGTCATTAATAACTGATAGACGGCACATGGACTGGCATAGTTACTTCTGGGCACTGACTGGCGGCACTGACTGGCACAACCCCTGGGCACTGACTGGTCACTGAAAAACAGCTGAATGGGCACACAGGTGGGTGGCACTGGTGGGCGGTGGCATGGTGGGCACAGGTGGGTGGCAGCACATGTAGGTGGCACTTCTGGGCAAGGTCATGCAAGGTGGGGGCACTGCTAAAAGTGTGGGGGCACTGCTGGGAATGGGTGGGCGGGGCTAGTGGGCGCACTAAAAATCAACTTGCGGGGGTCACTGCTGGGCACCGATCATCAGGGAATGATCATCAGTGCCCTGATGATCGGTGCCGATCCCCGCTGACTGCCGGTTCTCAGGCAGTACATTTTCCTCACGATCTGACAGCGTGAGGAAAGTGAGCCGAGAACCGGCATCTTGCATTTTCCAGCGTGTCATTGGACACCGCTGATCACGTGGTAAAAGGCCGGTGGGATCGGCCTTTCACCACATCTCGTGATCAGCTGTGTCCGTAGGACACAGCGATCACGGAGATCGCCGGGTGCGCGCCCCCTGGGGCGCGCAGGAGAGCGCGTCCTGGGAGGACGTCATATGACGTCCACTCAGAACAGGCCGGCCGCGGTGAAGCCGTCTTTCGGCTATGCGCGGTCGGCAAGTGGTTAACAAGCTGTACCAGCGTTCCAGTTCTAGCCAAGGATCTAATTATGCTATCTGGCAGGCGTGTCTGCATTACAAAACTGGCTTCCCAAAAGTGGCAATGCTTAAAGCTTCTTTTGGTCATACTTCTCTTCTGGGTTAAAAGAGTGCACTCCTGTGACCAAGATTCAGTTGACGGTGAGCTAAAACCTGCTTTTGGCTGACATCACAGAGCTCCAGGCTCTGAAGAGATCCCGGCAATAATCCGTCCATATGCCTGGAATACTGAGAATCTGTGCCAGCCACTCCCACCCCCTGCACATCCCAGAACTCCAGTGAGCGCTGGAGGAGCAGAGTAGAGAGACGGTGACAGTCACTGCTCTCTGCTCAGCAAAGACTGAGAACTGAGCAATCAGTGGTCATGTAATCAGACCAATTGGACCAATGCTGCTACCATATACAGTAGGCGAGTATGACTGATTGTTTTTTTTTGCTGTCCAACACTTCACCTTTAAACCCAAAAGCAAATATATTGCAGCTTACAATTTTTTACAGAAAGGCAGAAAAAGACAGAAGAGGCGTGTATACAGTGACTGGCTGTCACTATAGATCAATGCTGGTTTTTAAATGTAATTACTGGCTTTTTTTTTTTTCTTCACTATAGCTCAGAGAATCAGCTGTCACTCCCCCCCCCCCCCAGATAAAAAAAAAAAAAAAAAAAAAAAAAAGTTTCCTTTTTAGGTTATTTCCTGGAGTTAAAAGAAACAAAGTTTGGTTTCTTTCCGAGATAAAATAAACAAAGTTTCCTTTAGCTCTGGGGAAAGTGACAGCTAATTCTGTGAGCTAAAGTGAAGGAAAAAAAAGAAGCCAACAATTGCATTTAAAAATTGGCACCAGGATATAGTGACAGCCAGTGAGGGAGCATCTCCATATACACTGCTAACTCACTGTACACACTGCTCCTCTCCTGCCCCCTCCACACTACAAAGAGGACCTGTCACTCATATGCTATCACATAGGGTCCCCAATGTGATAGCAATAAAATCATAAATTAAAAAATTTAATAAAAGTGTGTGGGGGGGAATAAATAAAAAAAAAATAAATAAATTAGAGCCCCCCACCCCCACGCGCAGACATTTGGGTTCAGTTTTCGGCCACACGCATTCTAAATTTTCGGTGTCGGTTTCCACACCAGTATTTTCATTTTGGTGCACCACTAGTTCTAAAGTCTTAAGGTTTTTCATATTAATGCATTATATGCAATAAGGGGAAAAACCTTCTGTGCTGCAGCTCCCCCCCTTCTGTGCTGCAGCCCCCCCCCGAGCCCCCCCCCCCTTTTTCTTACCTGAGCCCGATCTGACTCAGTGATGTGCATGAGAGCTGCGGCACTAGCGGTCTACCTCCTCATTTGGCAGATTGATAGCAGTGAGAGCCTTTGGCTCCTGCTGCTGTCAATCAAATGCTGAAACACAGGAGCAGGGGACAGGGAAGAGTCAATGGACACAGACAGGGCAGCTCGGGAGCGAGCCCGCATGGGAGCCCCAGTGGAAAACGGCTTTCCATGGGGGTACACACTGCAGAGAAGGGGCCCAGAAGATGAGGATGGGGGCTGCTCTGTGCAAAAGCATTGAACAGAGCAGGTAAGTATAACATGTTTATTATTTTAGGAAAAAAAGTTTAACATCACTTTGATACTGCTTTACGTATACAGTTAAACAGCGCACATGTACTGTATTACAACTGTACATTTATCTGCATACCTGGAGTCCATTTTCCATTATGCCTGCATTGTTAACACTGCTGGTTTATATGCTTTTTTGAGATACCTTTCTCCTATTCACTTCCTACTATCTCAGAATGAAGGCTATGGATAATGGCAAAATGCATTACATGTGACACTGATAAAGGCGTGGCAGTGGTTAATCTGGAGCGTGCAATGATCATGTGGCAGCGGCCCCACCATAAAACAGACACACGAGGCTCATCACTCTGCAGAGCTTCCACTTACATCTCTGGAGTACGTTCAGCTGTCTGCTGCTTCTGTTCATCAAGTAGCTATCTACACATAGCTTTAAAGTATTTTGTTTTCTAAGCTGTCATTTCCAGAAGCCAATTTTCATTGACCTTCCCAACTGCAGACATTAACCCTAACCAAGAACTCCTCCTCTCTGCTCCATTTGTATCTGTTAAATATGCAAGTGCATAGTTATATCTGTCTGATAAGTGCACTCTACAGTCCTATATCAAGCATGATCGGTCCTGCCTATGTGAACTACAAAGCTCCCCACCCTATAGTTAGGGATAACAGGAGGGGGAATATTGTACTCCTGAAAAGAGAAAACTAATGCAGCCAAACATCTAAGGGCTGGTGAGCTACAATATACTAATTTCTGTTCTTGGTTTTATATACACTTTAACCACTTGCCCTCCTGAGGATTTACCCCCCCCCCCCCCCCCCTTCCTTCCTGATCAGGCCATTTTTTGTGTTACGGCGCTGCGTTACTTTAACTGACAATTTGTGTGGTCATGCAATGCTGTACCCAAATTAAATTTACGTCCTTTTTTTCCCACGAATACAGCTTTCTTTCGGTGGTATTTATCGTCTATGCGTTTTTATTTTTTGCGCTATAGAAAAAAAAAAAACCGACAATTTTGAGAAAAAAAAAACATTTTTTTACTTTTTGCTATTAAAT